CAGATTGTTATTTTTCCCCACAGCTCGAACAAAGGATAATTGAGGGGGAAACAAAACATTTACTAATTAGCACTCCAAGGCTGCACACAATGACTGTAAAATTATCAAATCGTTTTCTGTTTTCTGTTTTTTTTTTTTGGTTATTAATGAAAATATAAAGGAAAGGATTTGTTGTTTTTTCGTAGTATACTTTTGTGGGAGAAAGCGCTAAGAATGAGAATGATGTGTTATCAACAGAAGGAAAATGGGTTTCCATGAATTTTCTTATAGCAGTTATGCAAGTATATTATTATATTTTAACTTTTTTAGTTTTTACTAGAAATACTTTCAAGTTTTTAACTTACTATTATTTTATAATTTACGGCATATATATATCTTATTTACTTTTGTATAATTTTTTAAGTTTTTTTATAAATACCTTTTGAATATTTTTCTACTCTTGCATGGCTATTATAGTCAAAACCTTGTAACTATGTGAATAAATCATTTCCGACCCTATAAGTCATATGGGCAATTCTCAAATTAAAAAAAAACATGTGCCAATACTTTATATTCTTGATCAGCATCACTTGCCGAGTCGATCTAGCCATGTCCCGTTAAAAAATAATTTTTCAAAAAATTTTATAAAATAAATAATTTTCAAAAATTGATCAAAAATTTGAATTTTTTTAAAAGTTAAATTTTGTATGCAGATTTCTTAACCTAATAAAAATTAAAATTAATGCTTTTTTTGGCTTAGTTATGAGATGTTAAAACTTTGATTTGTGGAAAAAATTTTCATTTAAAAATATTGATAAATATTGTTTCAAACAATGCGAATATTTAGAGCTTAGTTATGATCTATTTCTTATACGATCCTATAAATCAGTTACAAACTGCCTTGGTATATAAACTTCGGCTTCCTGAGGTTAGTTTCCTTTCCAGTTAATATAAATTTTGGATATTTTTTTATATTTATATAGGATATTATTATTATGTAATCACAGTGTAATACAATCATAATTTTTAGATAAATGTTTACACAGAGTCAGAACCTTAAGTCAAGAAAGAAAGTTACATTGTTTTCTGTACCCTGACAATATTTTTAAACAATCGCTCCTTGATTAAATATATAATGAAATATGTTTACTAAATACACTTCGTGAAGCTTGAACATAGTTCAACATTATTTTTTGAACAATTTTAAAACTGTTGGGATAGTGTACCCGGCATTCTGTCTCTGAGTTCCTTCCCGGATCCCCCCTCCAGACATCTGGGAACAATTCCATTTGCGCGCTGGCTGTCAGATCTCCGGGCATTGCTCAGCTGCCTGGCCGACAATTCTGCAATTCTCCTGTCGCAGCCGCAGACAAAGAAGGGGAGACAGACACAGGAAGGGCTGGGAGGAGGAGGTGGGAGGAGGAGCAAGAGGCAGGAGGAGGAGCAGGACCAGAACCAGAACCAGGAGCAGGAGATGACAGCCATGAATGCCATTTCTTCTGCTACCTTCGAGCATAATTTACATTGTATTCCGGCTTGAGTGTGCAGTTGAGGCTGTCTTTTATGGTTTGTCTTGGCTCAATTCGCTTTGGCTTTGGTCTCGTTTTTTGGATTTATTTTTTGTCTATTTTAATGCTGAATTTTTTCAGCACAATGCGAAAATTGTACTTGTCACAAGGAGCGAGAGCGGAAACGCAACTTGGCTTCAATTTATACATGTCAAGCTTGTTAAGTTGGCCCAAAACTGGACTCTGGCAGACTGATTGCATCATAATTACCCCCAACTGCCTTCTGTATTTCTGATTTTTACCCCCCTAAGTGCTTTTTAACGAGCTCTCTTTTCGGTTGCTGCCTCCACTGCCACCGTTTGTTGTCCGTTTTAGGGGAAAAAGGGCAAAAATAGTCCTGGCAGCAAAAAAGAACAACAAATTTGAACATTTGTTTCCCACGATTTTCGACCGTAATTTTCCCCAGTGAAAACAGAACCCATCCAACAGAGCTAGCCCTCTCAATTCTGTCGTTATAATCTGGTACATGGACCCCATAATTTGTAATTTCAACCTAATTACTTGAAACCCAGATCCCCCGGCCATTGTGAGGGGGGCGTGGAGAAAGAGCGGCCAAAAGCCCAGCTAAACAATGTTGTTGGCAATAAAAAATGTCAAAAAAAGCACAGCAAAAGGCAACAAAACGCCCATTTTGGGTTCAAAAGCACAGACACACATGCATTCACATCAAGGCCAAAATGACACGCCCACTCACACGCACAGAATATTTGTGATTTTTGTGTTTTTGGATCTGTATCCTTCTGCTGGTGACATATGTTAATGATTTGACGGCAATTTCTAGGTCATAACAATTGATTTTTACGCCTGCCCAGGGGTTATTTTTATTCCGTTAATTAAAAATAAAGGAGAAATATAATTGTTTTGCTAATGCATTTTTAAAATGAGTTGGTAATTAACCTAAGAGCGAAACATACTTATTATTTCCATTTAAGAATAACATCATTTATATTACGAAAATAATCCTCTATTTGTGAATAACATTTTATGACAAATTTGATTTGTTTTGACATTTTAATTACGCAATAGTTTAAAATAAAATATAAAATTAATAAATTCAAGAGCTTTAATATTTAAATCCTGTGTCAGTCAAAAAAGTTTCCCAGCATAAAAAATATATATTATTTGTATGTATATATTTTTTTCGGTTGAAATTAAATATTTATACATTGGAGCGGCAATTCAGTTGAGTTGAGTAAATGGATCAGCCGAATTCCGGTGGCTGGATGAAAAGGGGCAGACAGGATAGGTCTGACAATCCAGGAAGCTGATATGGAATGTTCATTCATATTTCATTTTGCGAAATTGTTCGCGACCAAGTCAGTGAGTGCAGCAGAAATGTCAGCCTAACAGTCAGTTAAAGTGCATTGCAATGGAAAAACAAGAAACAAAATTGGTGGGAAAACATAAAGACTAGTGAATGCTCTATAATGATTTCTAGGGAAAGATATAACGAGATGCAGACCAGAAATGTATGATCATAAAGGGAATGGAAGTTTAAATTAATTGAAAAATCCCATAAAAACAATACTATCTCTTACTAAAGAAATTCCCAAGGAATCTCTTCAAGTTCTCCCCTTAATTCTATCTAATAGTTATATTTTATAACCTCTTAACCATCCCCCTTTCGATTGCCACTTATACTAAAAACCCGCAAATATGGCAAACTCAATTTTTCCTTCGGAATTCCCTTGAACATCAAATGTTAACAACAAAAAACTGCAACAAAGGCCATTGAAGTGCAATGAAAATGCCGTACATATCCTGTTGGTAACAACGGTTACAACTGAAATCAGCGGTCACGATGACGGCAAACCGTAAAAGTAACTGCTACAATGACACAGCCGTTACTGCCCATCCAAGGCCCATCCATCGTATCGTAGTAACACACACACAACGCATTGCCGTGGCCATAAAATAGTAACATCAATGAAACGCATTCATACGTTCCCCTATATATATATACTCGTCTATATGTACATACATACATCCGGACAGACGATGGCCGACCGGAATAAAGTGCTATTAATAATAAATGTTGCATTGGCACAGGGGGCGAGCCAAATGAACTTGGTTTTGGCCAAGTCCCCGGCAGTGCCGAAAACAACCAGTCATAACCCCCAATAACCCCCTTTCAAAGCAAGGGGATTCCCCGCAAACTGCAATGGAAGCGAGCATTGTTTTTAAGGGTAATTCGATAAGGGTAATTCAAAGGCAATTTCAAGTTTGCATTGACAAAACAAAATTAACAATAAGAATATTTAAGGACTTTCTGTGGATGTATACACAATTATCGAGAGTTTCTCGAGCTTAAGAAAATGTTTTGTATGGGTTAAAGAATATGTAATCATATTTGTTGTAGGGGTTTTTGTAAAATTGAGGCATATCGGGGTGTAAATTCAATCAAATTGTATTATTTTAAAGTCTGTATCTATACCTGTAGGAATAGTTGTTTGGTAAAACTAGAAATTCATTTAAATGTGAGATAAAATAGTCAAATATTAATTTAGTGTATCAAGTTCCTCTAAGTAAGTTTAAAAGTTAAACACTTTCTTGACCTATACAGTTTTAAATATGTTGCTAACTTGGTTTAAAATTAACCATTGAATGTCAGTGCAGAATATAAGAACTCTTTGATATATACAATATTATCGAATAATATTCTTTTTAAACCGAAAGCTTGGTACCATATCTATATACATCTAAAAATAATAAATAAAATGCAATCCTCCATTTCATTCTTATTTCTAACCTTCATAGTTTTGATAGTTTTAATAATTAAAAGCTTTTTCAACTTATATCTAAAAATAATAATTAAAATGCACTTCTAAATTGCATTCTTGTTTCTAACCTTAGCTTGATAGTTTTAAAAAATTAAAAACTTTCTGTACAGTTTAATGTTCCCAATAAAAATATGTATAAATATTAACAAGTGAAGGGTATTTCCCGTTTCTATCAATAAATTTACACATGTTGGTAGTATAAGTTGTAGTTGTGCAACATACAACATTGTAAAGCCCAGTCAGCAACAACAATAGGAGCAAGAGCCGAGACAGGAGCAGGAGCAGTAGCAGGATCAGGACTACAATAGCAAACGGCAGGACGGCTGCCATAATAATAATAAATGCCATAATCCCCTGGAATCGGCGTTCCTCTGTGGCCATTTCTCCGCTTTCTCCGCTTGCGTTTCCTGCATTTTTCTTTTTATATATATATGTATATATATATTTTTTATTTTCATTGTTTCGTCCGCAGTAACAACAACCGCATCGACAACAACAGAAACAATGGCCATAGTGCAATTCGACGCGTCAAGTGAATTAAGCGATTTTTAAAGCTTTACGCTAAATGAAATTTGAATTGCCAAAGTGTTCACTTGTGTGTGCAAATTAAATTACGCAAATCAAATAAATGTTTTAACAAAAAACGAAAAGGAAAATAAAGCGAAAAACAAATAAATACGGAAGCGGAAAACGAAAAATCAAAATAGAAAAATGTGGCCCAAACAATGCCATTGGCAGTGTGTGTAACGAATAAAAAAATAAATATTGCATCAATCATAGATAAATACAACGCTTAACAATAGCACAAAAGTTACTAAGCAAATAGTAAAATGTTTATTTTAACAGTAATTAAATTGCTGCTGATAGCACTGAATATATTCCCCAGTCGATTCACAAATCGACGGATTATGTTCATCATCTACATGACGAATCTGGTGACGCACGGTAAGCTTTGCTGGAATTCTAAATTATTTTTACATAAATTTATATGGAGACCATTAAAATTTATTGTTAGATAAGCTGCATATCATTTATTTGAGGCTAAACATGAATTTTTTAAATGCAAGAGCTCGTTGATGCTACGATTAGTTTGGTGATAAGTTGATAATATATTGTTGTTGTTGTTGATTATATTTTCAATTTCATATTGAAATAAATAAGTAAAACAATATGTAGAATTATTGTTTTAAGACTAATATAGTTAATAATTAAGAAGGATATATAATTTTCTATTAAAACAAATAAAAAAATATAAGAAAGCTTTATTGTTACAAGGCTTTAGGTTGATGAGGTTACTTTTGCCGTTTTAACATTAAATATATAATAATATAATATAATGTATAATATAATATGATATATTATATATTTTAAGGTACATGTACAATTAGTTTTATGATACTTGTTAAGTTTTGTAGAAAAATAAGGTTATACCATTAATTAATTTGCATTAGAGGCATATATATCAAATATTCTGGACTATCCTTTCATAATTTTATTATGTTTTCTGCAAATCCTTACACTATGTCCAAAAAAGATTGCCGTTATGGAAATCCAAACTAATAAACCAATAAAATTCCAAATGATTACAAAAAGGACATAAACTCATATAGCTATTTATAGGAAAGGTTCCATTTTAATTTCATTGGAATTTCATAAAAAAATACTATGTAAATATATCTTAAAAGTGTTTCTATCATTTTAATTAAACTGAAACCTCTTGGACCTCTCGTAATTTTTTGTCTTTCCTGACAACACTTTTCTTTTAGAAAATCCTTTAACAAGCTTTTCCATACGCTCGTATTTCCGCTACCAAATACGTGTTCTTTGCGCCATGTTGAAGCTGTCAGATCTGGTCATAATTTAATTAAGAAAATGAGACCTCAAAACGTTGCCAACGCCGCTTGTCCTCGCCGGCAACCCAAAACTCTAGCTTCCACCTCCTTCCACGCCCCTCCGCCCCCCAAAAAGCCATGAACCATGAGACAGGTGCAATGTTGGTGCCTATCTGGCTGGAGGCAGAAGGGGGCGTGGCAGTGGATAGAGGCGTGTGCCGACTGCAGGACGCAGATAACGGGAAACACGGCCCACATAGACTTGGTCAGGAGACAGACCATGTTTTTACTTTTTTTGTATATACCAATTACCTACGCAAAAGGTGTTTTGAAATACTAAATATAGAAATTCAAGAGGTTTTCCTAATTTCCCTTTAAATATTTATATATGATTTTATTGGTTAAATAGTTATTTAATTAAATATCTTATAAAAAAGTTAAATCCTTAGGTACAATTTCGCTCTTGTAATGAAAATCTTTTCCCAAAAGAATTTCCAAATAATCTTGGTTATTTAACCAAGTTAAGTTAGTTAAGGTAATATCTTAGCTAGTATCTAATGAACTGCCTATCTGAGGTATCTCAAAGTCGAGTGGGTAAAATGAAAATGATTTTATTTGCCTATTTTCTTTTTTTTTTTGTGTGCAGCACTTCCGCGGCAAAGACAGCGGCACGAACACGAGCTGAATGCATAGAGTAGGAAAATACTCGTGCCAGGACAAAAGCTGCAACAGCGGCAGCAGAGGCAGCAGCAGCAGCCTCAACAGGCTATAACTACGTGCTGCCATTTTCCCCCATTTCCCTGGCTTTTCCATACCCATTCCCGGGGCCAGATAAAAAATTGCTTTGTTTAATTATTTCATAATGACGCTGCGGCTGCGGCTGCCACTGTTGCTGCTTCTGGTGCTTCTGCTGCTGCTGCTGTTGCTGTTGATTATATTTGGCCTGTGGGCCAGGGATTTCCGGCAACAGCTGCTATTGCTCCTCCATCAACATTTGCACTTCTTTATTTTTATTACCCCCGGCACACTTTTAGCTGGCCTTTAATGACTTCGTTATGGTTGCCATAGCGATAGCTATGAAATTGCCTTACCCACAAATTATTCATACAGTTCAAGAGTTTTCTACGAAACTATACTTCAGAGAAATTTAGCATAGAAATATAATTTAAACCAACATTCTAAGCTAACCAGAAAGGAATTTAGTTATACAAGAGTTGAATTAAACTAGAGTTAAAGTTCAAAGTTGAAATGTATGTAAATAAATAATAATATTACGTATACGTAATTTTTAGGGCATAAAACCCCTTTAGAATTGTAATTTGAGTATTATCTTAACAAAGCAGAGGAGTTTATCCCCTTGCTTAGGCTTAGAATTATGCTCCTCTAGTTTTCCCCTCTTTTTCACTCATTAACTAACCAACTTTCCCTGACACTTTCCATTTGCAGTCATGATGGATGAGCCACGTTTCGCACAGCCGATACCAAACGTTACCGTTGCCGTTGGCCGAGATGCCAATCTGCCCTGCGTTGTGGAGCATTTGGGTGGCTACAAGGTGAGAAAATTGGGTATGGGGGAAATTTCTGGTAAGGGAAAACCCGCCCCATACAGAAGGGGATGAGGTGGACTGTCATAAATCGTGCGTAAACTGAAACGCAATGGTCGAACAACGGCCACTTGATGAAGGAGTTGGTAACCGAGACGGACTCTGTCAAAAATCAATTTCACAAATTGCACAAGGACCAAGGCCGGACAGACTGACAAGCAGAGGAAACTGATTTTCTTTTTTTTTGGGTCACAACTCAAAGATAAAGAGGCCCATCGATATATTGCCCCCATTGTGCATTCTGTCTTCTGATGACTTTCAGCTGTCATTAGCAAAGTCAACGTATTGTTTGCCTTTGCCCGCAGCAACAATTTATGAACTGCATATATGCAACTAATCCACAATAAGCTAAAGATACCCTCTGGAGTCTCTTCGACCAAGGAAAATGGCTAGAAAATCACTTATCATTTATCTCCCTCAGCTGCTGGCTGGCTGGGCGCACACAGCGAGCTCATAACAAATCACAAATATTTACTCGCCATATCAACTTCATATAAAACACTGTCCTCGGGACTAGCACAAGTCCTGCTCCTTGCTCTTATTGGACTTTTGTCAACATTGGCCAGAGCCTGGACCTGGGACATAAGGGAAAGTTGGTAGTAAAACGGGGCAGAAAGGCGAGAAACTCATTGCTGTCAGTTCTTGGGACTGAGGGTAAATTTGAAAAGTTTGCAGCTGACCCAAGGCTGGTGAAATCCTTGCAATCCTTCTCTGGATGCATACAGAGAAAAAGAGCAAGGAATACGTCCTTAGGGGAATATAATACTGAACGTAATTTTGATAAACATGTGTTTTAGGAGCTTAAAAAAAACAGAAAGGCTTGTAAAGCTTTAATTTTATTCCTGTAATGTAAGATTTACTTTACTCAAATATAAGAGAGTCTTAAAAGTGTTAATGGAAGATTATTTCATATAGTATTTATCACAATTTTTCCCCGTGTACCATATCTTCTGCTTGTCACACGCAAAGGCAAAAACGAAGCCCAAAGAAAGTGCGAATGGCAAAGGCGCAAAAAAAAAGTGTATTAAAAATGCGGAAACAGCTGTCAGGCTGTCTTTATCCTTGGTCCTGCGTCACAACATGACGTTCATTTATAATGGCAGGACCTCCACATACACACACACACATGCATTTACCAGGGAACTGGTCCTGAGAAGGACTCTGTGTTGACTGTTCTTTAGATCTTTAAAGAGAGAGAGAGACCCTGTGGGGACAGGCGAAGGGGACATTAGCTGGAAATTGACCGAATGATGCGAATCGATTTTCAAAATTGCCTGTTACTCGCAGGTGGCCTGGATTCACATAGACCGGCAAATGATTCTAACCATCCATCGACATGTAATATCAAGGATTCCACGCTACAGCATCACCTACACGGACAATACGTGGCTTCTACATGTGAACCAGGCCCATCAGGATGATCGCGGCTACTACATGTGCCAAGTCAACACGAATCCAATGATTAGCCAGGTTGGCTACCTACAGGTTGTGGGTAAGTATTATCTTTTAACATTCCTGATTTTCCTCTTAATTGATATTCTTTGGCAGTGCCACCAAATATACTGGACATTGAGAGCACACCATCGTCGGTGGCAGTGCGTGAAAATCAAAATATCAACATGACATGCCGAGCTGATGGATTTCCATCACCAAAAATCATTTGGCGGCGTGAGGATGGCGAGGAAATTGCCGTAGAGAAGAAGAAAAAAGGTAAGTGGGTTGGGAGAGAATATCTAAAGACTTCGGGGGAGCTATATTTTTGCTCAATTTCAAAGCTGTATTTGAATCCTAAATAAATTTATATTAATATGATGACTTTTGAGCAAGTAAACATATGTTTCCCCTCTGAATATATATGCTCTTGACACATTTCTTTTCATGTCCTGGATATTCACCTGCATCTTTAATATTAAAACCAGTTCTGGTGTACGATGGCGATGTCCTTCCTTTGACCAAAGTGAGTCGCAATGAAATGGGCGCCTATCTGTGCATTGCCACCAATGGTGTACCGCCCTCGGTGTCCAAACGAATCATTCTCGATGTGGAATGTAAGTATTCAATGCCAGAAATTAAGAATGAAAACCATAGGGAATCGAGTTCGTTTGGGGAGTCTGTGGAAAGTACTGCGTATTATATTAGACTGTAGTTTGGGACGCTTTTTTTGGTGCAGTTTAGTTGAAACACGCGCGCGCACTTAACGGAACGCGAGGAGGCCATTTATTCAGTCAGGCATCTATCCAACCTTCCATCTACCCATCCCTCCATCTATCCATATATCCATCTATCCATCTATCCATCTATGCTGGAAGAGCATACTGGCGCATCCATCCATTGAGCCTGGCCTGCCATATTCCTTTGGTGAAGCTGATGTTGCTACCTGGTGCTCATCAATTTAACTGCACGCTCGTTGCTCTGGCAATGAGTGACAAACGCAGCTAAGCTGCCGCCATCTAATGCAGCTGATATATAACAAGGTATATGTGTATAGAATACACTGACAGAAAATAGGTGATTAGAGAGAAAAATGTATATTAAAGTAGAAGGAAAATGTAGGAAATTGTAATGGTATTTCAATTAACTATTTCAATATATTCCTTTCATATATCCTTATTACTCTTCAAGGTATAAATTTACATTTAAAGCAGCTCAATTATTTAATACTAATTGTAGATTGGGAATTCTACTATATTAAGGATTGGTTTTATATAAAAACCTAGTTTTACAGATTTAAAATTTATGAATATAGAATATTTTAACAGTTTTCCTGGATAATAATTCCATTCTCTCTTTATAAATATAAACCATAAAAGATTCTTGCTTTTGAAGCTCTCTTAAAGTAATCAAATCCCTTTAAAAATTATTTATTAATTATCTTCCCTTTATATTATTAAAGGATTATTATTTTTTTATAAAATTTCTTTTATTGTCCCAATTTTTCTCAGTGCCTTTAGTTAGAGAGATAGCGTGTCCTGGGCGTAAAAGTTACGCTGCCATTGCACGCCGTGCGCCAGTAAACGCTTGTTAATCCTAACGAGTTTCAGGCAGCCTGGCGCTTACCTCCCCTCCCCTACCCCCTACCCCCTAACTTCTAACTACCCCCGGACTACGCCCCTGTCCCACTACCATGGCACCCCCCTTGACAATAATTCACGTCACGTACCTGCAATAAAGTCACTTGCCGGCGCTGCACGTATGACTTTGACGGCGTTTTTCTGTACCGCTGCGCCATATACTATATGTGTGTGTGTGTGTGTTTTCTCTCTACTTTATTATGAACGGTTTTGTGCGTGGCTGAACCGTTGGGAAAGGGGGGCGGAGTCATCCTGGAGCGGCGGCAGCCTCAAATTGCAGGTGTAGTAGGCATTGTCAGGGAGCGTTTAAAATTTCCAACAAGCTCGCAGGTCCTTGCGGAGCTTCGTTTTCGGTTTCGGTTTCATGTTTAGAGTTGGGTTTTGCTGGCTGGAAATGGGTAACCTAATATACAGTTTCATTGAGGTTGGCTACAAAAAAAAAACACAAAAACATACAGTATATATATTCTGTGTTAAGTGAGATGGAAGGCTTAATATATTGGAAAGCACACAGAGACAAAGACGGATGTTGAACGATTAGGGTTAAGGCAGGGGAAAATGGTTTTTAGTTTGCGTGGAAAAAGCAATATATATTAAAAGATGAAGAGTATATTGAATTTAAGTTAAACTTAAAAGGAAACGAACTTTGGAAAGCCAAAGTTTATATACCCTTGCCTATAACTAAGCTTAAAATATTTGTGTTCTTTGAATCGATATTTATTCATATTTTTATATAACAAATTTGTTGTCAACTCCAAGTTTAAAAAACTCATAACTAAGCCAAAAATTAACTAATTTTAATTCGGAAAACAGTCTTAAGCTAGTTTTTGATTGATTAATAAATCTGCATTCTCAATTAAAAATTAAAAATTTGTTGACAATTTTTACGATAATATTTATAATATTTTTAATTTTCGGAAAAATATGAAAAATTTATTTTTCGACCGAAGAAAGCTAGACCGATTCGGCTGTTGCTTCTGATCAAGAATATATATGGTTTATAGGATCGGAAATGACTACTTCACTGCGTTTTAATCTTCTGACTGAAGCTATACTCTGCAAAAAGGTATAAAAACAGACAATTTTCTTAAATAATCTTAGTTTTCCAAACATCATAATTAAGCCAAAATAGCATTAATTTTGATTCGGAAAGCAAGTTTTTATAGCACTAACAAATCTGCATACTGGTTTTGTCGATGCTGTTATAAGTTTCTGACTCAAATTATAAAAACCAGCAAAAAGGTATAAAAACAGACAATTTTTCCGAAAAATCATAGTTTAAAAAAACTCATAACTAAGCCAAAAAATCATTAATTTTAATTCGGAAAGCGGTTCTATGCTAGTTTTTAGCAGATTAACAAAGCTGCATACTCAGTTGTCAAATTTTAAAAATTCAATTTTTTGTCAAATTTTGACAATTTTAATGATGTAACCCCTTATAAAATTTTCAATTTTCGGAAAAATGTGAAAAATTTATTTTTCGAACGGACATGGCTAGAACGACTGGGGTGTTGATGCTGGTCAAGAATATATATGGTTTATAGGGTCGGAAAGGACTACTTCACTGCGTTTTAATCTTCTGACTGAAGCTATACTCTTCAAAAAGGTATAAAAACAGACAATTTTCTTAAATTATCTTAGTTTTCCAAACATCATAATTAAGCCAAAATAGCATTAATTTTGATTCGGAAAGCTTTTCTGTGCAAGTTTTTATAGCACTAACAAATCTGCGTACTGAGTTTGCTGATGCTGTTATAAGTTTCCGACTAAATTATAAAAACCTGTAAAAAGGTATAAAAACACAATTTTTCCGAAAAATCATAGTTTAAAAAAACTCATAACTAAGCAAAAAAAATCATTAATTTTAATTCGGAAAGCGGTTCTAGGCTAGTTTTTAGCAGATTAACAAAGATGCATACTCAGTTTTCAAATTTAAAAAATTAAATTTTTTGCCAAATTTTGACAATTTTAATGATGTAACCCCTTATAAAATTTTCAATTTTCGGAAAAATGTGAAAAATTTATTTTTCGACCGGACATGGCTAGAACGACTGGGCTGTTGATGCTGATCAAGAATATATATGGTTTATAGGGTCGGAAAAGACTACTTCACTGCGTTTTAATCTTCTGACTGAAGCTATGCTTTGCAAAAAGGTATAAAATCAGACAATTTTCTTAAATAATCTGAGTTTTCTAAACATCATAATTAAGCCAAAATAGCATTAATTTTGATTCGGAAAGCTTTTCTGTGCAAGTTTTTATAGCACTAACAAATCTGCATACTGGTTTTGTCGATGCTGTTATAAGTTTCTGACTCAAATTATAAAAACCAGCAAAAAGGTATAAAAACAGACAATTTTTCCGAAAAATCATAGTTTAAAAAAACTCATAACTAAGCCAAAAAATCATTAATTTTAATTCGGAAAGCGGTTCTATGCTAGTTTTTAGCAGATTAACAAATATGCATACTCAGTTTTCAAATTTAAAATATTCAATTTTTGTCCAAATTTTGACAATTTTAATGATGTAACCCCTTATAAAATTTTCAATTTTCGGAAAAATGTGAAAAATTTATTTTTCGACCTTACATAGCTAGAACGACTGGGCTGTTGATCCTGATCAAGAATAAATATGGTTTATAGGGTCGGAAATGTCTCCTTCACATAATTACAGGCCTCTGGTTAGAATTAAAGAACCCATGCAGGGATATACAATTGATTGGATTATTAAATATATAATAATAGTTAAGCATATATTGAATTTTATTAAAACAATATTTTACAGTTGATTATTAGAGTTATTAAATAGTAAAGTACTTTTAAATAAAACAAAACACTCCTTGACAATAAATACAATGAAATTATATATTTAAAACATACAAAATTTGATTTGAATATGTATTATTTTTCATATTTAAAGAAATGATAGATATTTAATCTTGTCTTTCAACATTTTTATTCATAAATAATGAAACTATATGTGTTTAAAGACATTTATTCAAATTTAATAAGCTTCCACAATCACGAAGCAAATTGCCTGAGCTCCTCGGAAAAACTCTTTCATATGAAGGGGGTGGAAGAAGAAAGACTAAAGTGACAAACCCATCCACAGCACGTACTTCCGGCTAAACTTAATTTTTTCTACACCACCCCCAACACCCCCCGTTTATGCTGACGTGTTGTCTTAGCCATATTGTATATTGCTTCAGTGATAGTATATACATACATATATATATATATATATATATATATATATATATATATGTTGGTTGTCTCTGCGTCTGAGTTTTCCAGCTTAGTCACTGCACTTTCATTTTAAGCTGGGCAAAAAAAAAAAAAGAAAAAGAAAGCTAACAAAAATGACAGACAGACGGACCCAGAAAACGTTGAACAGGCGTAATGCTGGCGCTTATGCGTGCTTTGCAACGACACCTGAACGCTCTCTCCCCCAGGTGCCATTTACATTTGCTAACGTTCCATATCAAACCTCTCGTTCCGCTTCTCATCCGCAGTCTCGCCCATGATTTGGGTGCCGAATCAACTTGTTGGGGCTCCATCCGGCACAGATGTAACCATCGATTGCCACACGGAGGCGCATCCCAAGTGAGTCTATTTTGCCTTTTTCGTTTACTACAATTTTGGTATTATTTTTTTGCTACGAAAACTTTGTGTAGCATACATTTGAGCGTTGTATGTCTGAGATCTGTTTATTTTGTGATTTCTGCTTGAAATGCGCTTATTAAAGCCAAATTATTACATATTTTCACCTTTTTTTTTAAGGGATTATTTATTTATTAAAGCAAATTTATATATTATTTTTTTAAGGAGTAGGAATAATAAATCATCATTATTTAAGCTTTAAACTTTCTCTTTTAAAGGTTTTGTGATTTCTTGTTGGAATATGCTTCTTAAAGAGAAATTATTTAATAATTTATAACTTTTTATTTAAATAACACTTATTTCTTAAAAAATATTTTTTAATTTATTCATTTTTTAGGGAAAAATGCCCATTAAAACTTAATTATTTATGCTTTTAACTTTATCATTTAAATTGAAACTTTTCTAATAAATTTATATTTACAATCCTTAATTTTTTAATTTTTATTTCTGCTAAAATGCCAATAAAAGTAGAATTAGTTAATCGATTTTGTTTCAGATAGTTTTGTATCTAATTAAATTTTAATAAAATTAAATTGTATATTATATTATATTGATTTCTTTGTCAAAGTCTATGGCACACTTAATTATTATTATTATTTATATTCATTTGTAATTTAAACACAATTTTTTAAAGTGTATTTTGAAGCATGTGCAATTCCAACAGCAATTTCCCCTTCTATTTTCATTGGATTTAACAAATTTTACATTGCACCTGATTGCATTTAGTTGTGCTGCTGATGTTTTTTTTTCGCCCTTTCCCTATTACATATGAGTTTGTGTGTCTGTCTCTCTGTTGAATTTTGCTCATACGATTTCTCTTTGATTTTGTTAAAATATTTACTTTCATTTGAGAATTTGATTAGTTTTCTTCTACCCAAGTGTATGTGTGTGTGTGCAAGTGTGTTAAAACAAATTTTCGTTTACATTCGATTTGAGTTAAATTCGAAAATGCTGAAACGTTTTACCAACCCTGCAGGGCCATCATCTATTGGGTATACAATTCGGTGATGGTATTGCCAAGCAAGAAATATAAAACCGACTACACGGAGAACTCCTATCGGTAAGTCACAATTTAAAAGCAAAACAAAAACAAGGGATAACTGAGAAGCTAAGAATAAAATCAACTCTAAAACAAAATACAACATACAAAAATTGTGTTGTTAAATATTTATCAGACATTTGCACTTGCCTTTCTTTTTGGGGGTCAGGTGCAAGTGCAAATGTTTTCGCCCCTCAGAAAGCCGAAGATAAGCCGCCATACAAACACACAAATTTATATATATATACAGATATATGTGAATATCCTTAAGCTTAACCAGTAACATATCCTTTGCAGTGCCCACATGAAGCTGACGATAAGAAACCTGCAATATGGTGACTTTGGCAACTATCGATGCATCTCGAAGAATTCGCTGGGGGAAACGGAAGGCTCCATACGTGTTTACGGTAAGTGCATTTGTATTGGTAGCTTAAGTGCACTAGTTACAGCAAACACACACACACATGCACACAAGGACCCTACACACACCCGGAGCACTGCAATATCGTTCGCCCTTTGTGGCACAATTTTGCCAAAAGCTTTTACCTATAGACCCAGCATCCCGCCATCCCATCTACGGGACCTTCAACTCCTTCTCCTCTCGCCATCGTATCCTTACATGCACTATACGTTGTCCTTCGGAGCGTAAAACTAAACGAGCGTCGGTGGCTGGTGTGTCTGGCCCTATCTGCCCTGTATTTTGCTCCTAGTCCTCCCCATACTAGAACCTATTTTCCACGCCCCTCTGGCAGTATCATCATCCCCCAAAGTAGCAAGGAGACACATTCACCATAAACGTAAACGGAAAATAAAGGTGAATTTCGGAATTGTTTGACTTTGTATCGTTTGCTAGCCAAAAGGACTTGCCTCCAAACATACCAACAGATACAGCTGCATTTATTTATTTATTTTTTATGCACTTTGCTTGTGTATGCTTTCGGGCTTCAAGTCCTGTTTACAAGTTACTCCTTGTTGGGCAAATGGCAAGGATGCTAAGGATCTATCGTGCGCTAAAGGTCATCGAAACATTAGCTAAACCTTGGGGTATATTTTAGGTTGTAATCTTTTGTTTTTTTGAATAAAATGGTATAAAAATTGAAAGTTAATTACAGGAGCTTTGGATAATAGCTTCCATTTAAAGGAGATTATTTTAGTTTTTATGGTTTTGTTAGTATTTGTATTAATTATTATTACAGATCTGAATGTGGAAAGCTTTTAACATAGTGTTGCCTTCCATCCAGTTTTAATTTATAAATATATTTAATAATAATTCCTAATTTATTTCACTGCTTTTCCGTTTATTAAATCAACTCAAAAACTCAGCTCAAAAGCTAAATGTTAAGTTTAATTTTTCCTTGTTGACCTTCTAGTAATTACCACGACTTTAGTTGGCTAAGCCTCATCAACTTTTATGTGTATATACGTGTTGTGGCTAAAAGCCTGGCCTTTAACTAAAAGTAAAATTTGTTTTATTTATAAACACACACACTTTGTGCTACTCGGACAAGTGTATGTTTTTGACCTTACCACTAGAAAACGCCACCACTTGACATAGTAAGCCAATGGGCAGCACAAAACCGACATAAATTCGTACCCCATAAAATACTACACATAATGTAATGAAAAACCATTTTGTATAATTTTATGCCTTTCTAATTATTAATTATGCAATGTTGTTATTCAATTCCATTTGCAGAAATACCTTTGCCCTCCACGCCATCCAAGCAGGTGACCCACACCACAGTCGAGTCCAGGGAGAGTAAGTATAGTATCAGTATCCCGGTGATGCTTGGGGTTTCCAGTGGGAGGAAAATGCACAGAATGCTTCGTATTTGTGCTTAACACATTCAGTGTTGAGCGTGAAAGTCACACCACACACACACACATGGGACATAGAAAGGATACAGGATACGGCGAGCCACAAACAAAACTGCGAAAGTAGCAGCTAAGCCAGACAGATCCACAAAAACAGGAAGGCATCAGGGGAATGTATAGTTTGACGGGGGGGACTAAGGGGATATGCACGGTCTAGAGGGGGCGGAGACACGCCCACAAAGAGATAAAGTAAAGCACTTTTGACTATTTCAGCGACGGGTTTTTCCACTTTTCGCCATAGTCACACTCAGAGAAAAATGACACCTTAAGCTGGATTTATTCTTTGGAATTAATTCCTAGAGCAGGATTTTTGATCATTAGATAAAGATTTACTTATAATAATTATCTTTGCTAATCGGTAAATTAATATTTGTATAATCTAAGGATTAATACTTCAAAAGTTTAATCTTATTTAATCAACTTGCTTCAGATTAACCCGAAGTTTATTTCAAGAACTTTTAAATGTTAATATCATCTGATAAACATTTAATTATTAACATGTTTTAAACGGACTATTTGTAACTGAAACCTATTTAAATTTAACATAACTTTTCAAAATATTTATTTAATAATATAATAATAGCTTGGACCTATTTTATCTAGGTGATAGTAATGATTTTATAAAAGGAAATTGATGCCAAATATTGAAACATTATTTTGGGCAAATTTAAATCACAAATTCATTCATTCATTCATGTTTGTCATATATAAATGTATGTTATTTCTTTAATGTTTTTTGACAAGAAAATATTTCATTTCAATGAACATTTTGTTGTTTACTTTACTTTCTTGGTAATTTAAAATTAAATAGAAATACTGATAAAATAATCTATAGGTTCAGCAACCAATCATTGAGGTTATTTTATTATTAGTACAAAACAGAATTTTCCTTTCACTTTCCAATAAAAAATATTCATAAGTAAAAAAATCTAATGACAAAATTCCAATCAAAATATTTCTCAGTGCTAACTTTTTTGCAAAAACTCTTGTTGAAATTCAAGTCGAGCAGAAAAGTACACACTCTTTCAAGTCTCTGTCCGCGTCCGGACCCGGTGTCCTTTTTCCGCTCCCGTCCTGTCCGTGTCCTGGCTGTGGGCAAAGCAATATGCTTGGGATTATGCCTGCGACGGAGGAGGATTTTCGGGGGCATTAGGTTGGAAACACATTTGAAACACTGCCGCAGACGTTGAGCCCGAGAGCCGGAGAACCCGGAGCTGGAGTTGGAGCTAGAGAGCGGAGCAAAAGACCAAACATATTTTATTTAAAGTGACTGGCAAAGCAGCGCGAGAGCAATGCAACGGAACCTAATCCAGGAGTCAGCCCAACAAAGGATATTATTGTTTGTGTGTGACCGAGTGTGTGTGGAGTGTGTCGAAGCACCAATGTGTGGTGTGTGTCTGTGAAATAAATTTTTTGTATCGCAGCCAAGATTTCCACGCAATTTAACTTGAAAACCATGTCAGACTGGGGTTAAGTTTTGTTTAAGAGTCCGCAACTTTTACTAGTCAATAGAGTGACCCGCAAATGAGGCCAAAAAGGGTTTTCTTGGATTAAACTTGAACTTTGCAGCCACTGTATATACACTCAAGTATTAATATATATCATTATACACTTAATCTGCAGACAATATCATACCCTCATCACGCAACGACACAACGAAAGCCCTGCAAACGGATGTGGGATATGCCATGAAGAACGATTTATATCCTGGCTCAGCCTCATCCTCATCCTCTGGCATGGGGGCCAGCTCCTCGGCGGCCTCATCCTCGACCTCGATGCAGACTTCTGCCCTCCCAGGAGGTGCTACGGGCAATAGCCTATCGTCCTTGGGCACCAAGGGCTCCCTGGCGACAGGGAAGAGCACATTCGATGCGGATCGACCACCGAATCAGTATGCCTCGTCAGTGGGTAAGTGTATATCATAGAGTAGTTCTAAAGAATCGTCCCCCAATTCCTATATAAATCATATTTTCTACAGCAATCCCAGTGCTTCATAGAGCACTTCTGCTCCTGGGCTCTGGAATCTATCTGACCCATCTCTGAAATCAATAAATCGCTTGAGTTACTCAATAAGCATTTCCAAAATGCAGCCAAAGGGGGTCATATAAATGGGGCGGGGCATAGTTTAGGTACATCAACATATTTCATAGCTGAAAGTATATCAAAAAAACCAATAATAAACGGAAAAAAAAGAAAAACAACACATGCTTCAAACTTGGCTCACTTCAAAGCTATAGGAATTTGTAAAATTATATATAAAACAAAAAAAAGGAAAAGTATTTCGCAAAAACAATAAAATGCTCATTGTATGTATAGTAATTATAAAATTGTAAACTTAAGAAAAAATCACTCAACCATAAATAAAGTAAGAAATTGATTGTAAAATATATGGATTACAAATTAAAATTGGTATAAACTAAAGAGGCAGAGGATTTCTATTTATTTTATCATTTTAAAATTTAAATTTGAAAGCATTTGATTGTAAAACTCTTATTAACATATCACATAAAAACCCCTCTCAAGTAACCAGAAAGTTTTGCTTCAAATTTATACATATCCCAAATTCATATCATATTATTTTTAACCCATTTTTTGTTTTATTAAATTTTTCCGTTTATCTTTTGGTTAAGCAAACAATTTTCAGTACATTTTAAAACCATTTCTATGTTATACCTTTACTCCTTATTAATCTTCAATCAATTGCTGTGCAATTAAAAATATTAAAAGCTGCAGAGGAATTAAAAAAAAAACCCCACCACCGCTAAAGTCAAGCGGATTTCTTACTTCAATCCGTGACAAACTTTTCACAACCCCTTTTTCGCGTGCAGGAAAAACACAACAGAAAAAAAATTCGAATTTATTTAATGAAAGAAAAAGTCGACGGGCCTGTCATGCCAGTCAAGCCCATATCGACGGCGGCTTCGAAACGCCTTAAAAATGTCATTCATTTTAACACAGTTTCGTTCGACGTCGCTTCTATGGTATGAGTAAAAATTTGCAATAATAATTGTGCAATGCCTTGATTTTTCCCCAGTTTTCCGAGCTTTCCATCTCCCGTCATCGTCAGCTTTTATGTGCATTGTGCGCTTCCATCACTTTTTAATAAATGTGCATGCTAATTATATTATTACTCATACGACCCGTTGCCATGTGTCCTGCCTGTCTGCTTGGGCCTCACCAGGATCGTTTCTCGCTCTTTGGTCCTTGGTCCTGGCTCCTGTCTCTGCCTCTCTTTTTCTCTTGGTTCTTCGTGCGAAATACTTGCAATTAATTTCAGCATAAAATTGCGTGGCCTGCGGTCTCCTGGCCCCGCACAATGACACACAGTTAACATGTCCAATTTATTGGCCATAACTCATGCCGGGTAGCCCAAGGAGCAAGAGGGAGAGATGGAAGAGGGACAGGGACAGCAGACAGACTATCGATGGGGCAAAGAAAAATGACATTAAGGCCAGAAGATATATGGCACATTTGCATATAGGTTCATATGTGTGTATATATATAAACACCATGGTTGCAGGTTAAAGGCAGGCCAATTTACTGCATTTATGCCTCTCGTCGGTCGTCGCTGCACGATTTTAATAATTCAACTTGTGTTGCATAAAGTTTGCATTGACATATAAACATAATGAACGATGGAAAACCGCATGCGAAATTGCCTTTCTCCGCCAGGCGAAGAGAAAACCCTTTCGTTTATTAACGTTGTTAATGCCAAAAAAAAAGGGAAAAGGAGAAAAGCACATTCAGTGCGAAAAATATTGATAATCAACATTGTGCATTGCACGGCAAGCGGATGTGTCGACGGTTCCACAATAACAAAATTAATGTATTTTATTTAATTCTCCCTCCTCTCTCAGTCGAGGCTTGGAATAAGGTCGCCCTGTGCAGTTAACTCGAACAATGCAGCTAATTAAGCATTATAAATGCAGCTGGCCAAGGATATACATATCCTTCTATCTGCCGCCCCAGGGAGTCGTAGATTTTGCAGCTGACTCTGATTTATCTCTTCTTAAAATTATAATTCTTTATTTATTTAAATTGCTTGAATAACAAAGTGCCACTTTTGCTGGGCTTTAAACTCCACAGGAGTTTTTTTCCCCAAATTTAACCGCACATTTAATTTTAATTAGTAAATTGTGCTAATTAAAATTTCAACTTGCATTTTTGTTTGTGTAAATAAACCCTTATTTTCGGTGAGATCATGCAAAACAAAATAAATATATATCTGTTAATGTAAATAAATGTTGCCCCCTTTAGTTGTGTGTAAATATGAAAAAGTAATAATTAAAACATCAAACACTTTGCATTTCACATACAACCAGAATTAAATCAGACAGTAAATAATTCAAAAATACATTAGCAAAGTCCTCTTGAAAACGAAAAAATACTAAACGAAAGCGAATAAGTATTATGTAAAGTTCGTATAACTAGGACCTACATAATTAAACAAGTAAAACAATAATTATTAATACACCATTATATATATATAAATATATATAACTTATATAGCCTATATGAAGTAATTATATTGTTTGTTGCCTGTATTTGAAAACTTAGCTGAACATCAAATGGATAATATATATAAAATATGTTTAAAGCTTTTTGTGCAAATAAAAATATAAGAACGGATGTGTTTTCCTAACAAAAAGTTGGCATTGTGTAAAAAAAATACTGTAAAAGAAAGAAGTAATTTAAATAAAAAACTTAATTTACTTTGATGCGTTGGTATTAATGATTAATTCTAAAATTTCATTATTTTATTTTAAATTTAAAATGAAAGACACTTTACAGGTATAACCACTACTTAATTTCTGAATTAAAATTCAGTTTTCTTTAATTTAATTTAATAAAAAAAAAGGAAAATGAGCTGAGTTATCAACGCTAAAACTATTGTAAAATAAACAATCTCAAAACAAAACAAAACAAAAAAGGGCCATAAGCTAAATAAAACAAATTTGCATTTAAGATTGACAGAATTACATTGTAAGCAGTTATATAATTATGCGATAATAATTAAATAATAAAACTTTAGGTTGATTGATACCACACAACAAAAAAAAAGAAGCGAACCGAACAAAAACAAACAAAAGTAAATGAACATAAATAACTGTTGTTTCATTAAACCATTTGCATTTAATTTTAGCTCTCAATTACATGGGCGAATGCCCAACGTGGTTGGCTTTGGTTTTGGCCTGGTATTTATGCAAATTTCCTGTTTTTCGGGGGTTTGACATTCGGCCAATGGGTTTCGCCGCAGTCGCCCAAAAAATAAAACAAACAAACAACGTTAATGAGCACACTTATTTACAGGAACAGCTATATCCACACACACTCACACATGTACACTGGGATATTAATTCCAGGAGTATATATTATATATCAAAAATTAAATTTATTTAGCAGGAAAGTATAAGTTATTTCGCTCAGTGCAGAGGCGGCATACCGCCAAAACCTCGGTGTGCGTCTACTAATTGTTTGAGTCACGCAAACAAATTTCACACAAAATATGCTAAATACTTTCAGGGGCGGGGGTTAACCCACACAAGAAAAATGTTTAATAATTTAATGTTATTTGCATAGATTTCAGCAGCTTTAGCGTTGACGTTTAGCAATTAACCTCGACACGCACCTATACCGAAAAGTCTAAGGGAAACTCAAAAGGAACTGTGATGGTACTCATTTACAGGGAAAAGTACCTTAAAGAAAGGTATTAAGTGAAGGTACAAACAAAATATACATAAATAATAAAGTTTATTAGAATATTTCTGGTTATTAACTTTTAAGAAGCAATATTTATCGAAAACAAAATGCATCCTTTTAATAAATAATAATATTTAAAATCTTTTATTTATTGCATACATTTTCAAACCGAGAATGAACAATAAGTTTCAGTAGCTTACCCCCTGCTTATACGCAATATTTCATATATTGATATATTTTTATCCTCCAATAAAGAATAATATACATCACAACATAATCATTTTCTTCCAATTTTTTCCCCGAAATTAAGTTAATTAATATAAACAAACAGAAATCACTCGTCACCCACTGCGTATACGCAACATTTCATATGTATAGTAAAGTTCAGTAAATAATAATATTTAAATCATCACAATTAATTAATTTTGTACAAGTTTTTTACCCAAATTAGGGTAACTAAAAAAGAAAATCTGTAATCGCTCGTCACCCGCTGCGTATACGCAATATTTGATATCCGGAAATCTTTTGAGTCTTTAATAAAGAATAATATCTTAAGCAATTACGATTTAAATACAAACTTGTCTACCCAAATTGAGGTACTTAGCAAAGAAATTACCCATAATTTGCCCATCACCCACTGCGTATACGCGATATTTGATATGTTTATATATATTTATCTTTAAAAAAAGAATAATAATGTTAATCATCGCGAATTAAATCACTTAATTTTTCTCCCAAATTATAAAACTTAAAAGAGGTACCCAGCAACCGCTCATCACCCGTGATCGCAGAACATATCAATGGCTTACACCGCTGCGTATACGCAATATTTGCTAAATTTAAATATTTAATCCTTCAATTTAGAATATTATTTTTGTATCATGACAACTTAATAATTTTCTAGAATTTTTGTACCCAAATTGAAGTACTTAACAAAAGTAGCCAGCAATTGCTCGTCACTCACTGCGTATACGCAATATTTTGTATATTGAAATAGATATTTATTAATCCTTAAATAAAAATTAATATACTTATCACCTCAATTTAATAATATTCTACCGATATTAAAGACCTTAAAAAGGGTAACTAGCAACCGCTCATCCCCCACTGCGTATACATAATATTTTATGTATATTTTATACGTACCCAGCAATTGCTAATCATTTGCTGCGTATACGCAATATATGATTTGTTGAACATTTAATAGAGAATAACATTTAAATTATCTTAATTTTCTACCGTTTTTTAATCAACATAAAGGACGTTAGAAAAGATACCCAGCTCATCCCCCGCGTATACGTAATATTTTGAATAAATTTAATAATAAAAAATTTAATTATCTCAATTTATTTTTTACGCAAATTAAGATACTTTACAACATTTTCTCAAAATTTTTTACCCAAATTAAAGTACATAACCAAAGTATACGCAATAGTTGATATATTAAAATTTATTAATCCTTTATTAAAGTTTAAGATTTGTATCATCACAACTTAATAATTTTTTACCAGTTTCAAAACAATTCTAAGGACCTTAAAAAAGATATCCAGCTCATTCTCTACTG